GCTGCTCCTGCCAGCTCTGACTAGGTCTGAACGTGGGTCTGATCTTTGGTCTGATTGCTTTCTCCCTGTTAGTTTCTTTCTCTATACAGATAGGATTTGTAGATTAAACTTGCAAAACAATAAAAGTAGACGCTCTTAACAACATTAGTTGTCTTAAAATTTGTGAAATATCTTAAAAATGTGAATTGTCCTTTTACTTCTCAGTTTCGAAGAAGAGCTGGATTCTTGGTTCTTCTGAGTGCCCTATTAGCCTCTTCCTGCCCTATTAGCCTCTTCCCTCGCCATCCCTCCTGGGGGTCAGGTGGGGACGCCCGGAGACTTTCATCTCCAGTCTTTCTGCATTTCTTTTTTTTTCATCCTGTAGTCAGCTGGCAGCTACATTGGATTTGCAGTTGAACAATTGATTTCTTATTGAATTTGCTGCACTTGGAGATTATTTGTGGGGAAGGAAACTAGGAGAGGCCAGGGTCTCCATTTAAATCAGTATCTTTTAAGCGTTTCTGGGAAAGAAAGAAAAATCACCGTTCCAGATCATAGTTTCTTGGAAATTGACTTTTAAAATGGACTTCACATAAAATTTTCACAAATTAAGGATGATCAGTTCACCCAGGCTCTTACTTCACTCAGTTAGTTTAAAAGTATGGTTTTATCATGGTTAAGTTTTTAATTTTGCATCAAATGACAACTCAGAACACGTCAGTCACCTTTTGGAAAATTTGTTCTACCTGTGATGGGTTGTTTTACTTTTGTCTAAAAAATAGTGTATTCCACACAGTGTAATATAGAATAAGACATTGGAGTCTTTTGTGTTAGCAATTTATTTGTTTAAATTATTGTAAAACTTCACAGTATTTCTGAAATTACACGCTTTACCTTGTGTATTGCTGACTAAAATGTGTCATTCTTGGGACAGTCTAGCAAGTGGTTTTAAAACATTTAACTTACTGATTTTGTCCCCTGTTATTTCTAGTAAAAGGGCCCAATATCCATTCATAATCTTCATGTATTCATGAAAGGATGTCTGCTGTATAATTCAAAATTTTACTTAATGAGTGTCCCTTGATAAAGCTTGTCAGGGATCCTAAGTGTAATTGCTCACTGATCATCAGAGGCAGTTTATGAACAATTAAATAGCTAACTTCAAATATAAAAAGGAAAAAGATTTATAGGGACATTCTTTCAGCTTATTTTTATTTTTAATCTATTATTTTTCACCATTGACTTTGAGATGTTTTGATTAAAATTTTAGCTTTTCCTTTTTTGACAAACTGAATTGTCAGTCTTCATTCACAAGGCTGTTGGTGATCCTCTTATTCTGTCTAAAATACTGTTGACTCATTTCAGAAGGAAATTTTAGTGATTTAAGAGAATATAAGTTTTTAAATAAAACTCATCAGGTTATACACACTGAAGAAGCATTTTTAGATTAGAATATTTAAAAAGATTTTTTTAGTTGTTGATGGACCTTTATTTATTATGTGGTGCTGATGTTTGAACCCAGTGCCTCACTCATGCTAGGTGAATGCTCTACCACCAAACTACAACCCCAGCCCAGATTAGAAAATATTTTAAAAATGGCACTTCTGTGCCTTTTAATTTTAGATTTGAAAGGAGATTTTTTTTTTGCATAGAATTTTATAAGCTGAAGGGAAGCAGGTCCATGAATTTTACCACCTGTTCTTGGCAGGAAGATCTGCTTCCAGCAAGTTTCTTGGATATCCCACTGGAGTCAGGTAGACATCTGTTCTTCCCTGTTTTCATATGTGTCTTTGAGATAGGAGAACATTTCAATCAATGTTATTAAACTTATTATTTATATCTTGTTTATCCTTTTATGTTCTTCCAGAGCCTCTCATTAGTACTGAAACTCTGTATACCTTTACTCTTTATTCCTTTGGAATATATAAAATGAATTTTTAAAATTTTGTGCATGCCACTTAATTTTAGATTCATTGAAAATAAACATGAGTCTTTTTACTATTGTGAGAGACATTGATTCAGCCAGGTATGGTAGTGCATGAGGCAAGACAATCCCAAATTCCACTTCACCTTGGGCAATTTGTGAGACCCTGTCCTAAAAAAAAAAAAAAAAAAAAAAAAAAAAAAGACGGGAATCCTGGAGATGTGGCTCAGTAGTAGAACAGTTGTCTAGCATGAACCAGGCCCTGTGTTCCATCCCCAATACTGTCAAATCAAATTTAAAAGGAAAAAAAAAAGGCATTGATTTAAGTGTATAATTTTCTGGTCGACTGCCATAGAGAACACCTCAAACTTAGGTGCTTAAACACATTTATTCTTACAGGTCCAAGGCTAGAAGTCTGAAATTTAAATGCAGACTAGGGAATAATCCCTCTAAGAAGATGCTCCCAGAAGAGAAGTGTTCTTGGTCTCTTTCAGCTTCTGGTGGCTGACAACATTCTTTGACTTGAGGCCACATCCCTCTAGTTGCTCTCTCATGGTCCAGTACAGTGAATTGTCTTCAGCTCTGATTCACGGCTCCCTCTGTCTTTCTCTTGTAAGGACACTTGTCCTTGGGTTTGGGTCTACCCGCATAATCCAGGATGATCAGCTCCTGTCAAGATTCTTACATAAATATTTCCAAAGATCAGTTTCCCAAATAAGGGAACATTCATGAGCTCCCAGACTTAAGACATAGATGTGCTTTCCGGGGCCACCATTCAGCTCTGACAGTAGTGAATGCCATGGTTCTGCCTATTCAGTGTTTTGTTGTTCAATAACCCTGCTAGAGGGATGTCCTATTGAATTATTTACTTTAAAAAAAAATACATTAGGTTTTTACTTTATTTAGCATACATAAACCTTGTTTATGCTAAGAGAACTTTCAAAATCATTTTCCATAGTATTTTCATTTCTTAATTATATATTTACCTTCACATATCCCATAAATAGAGCATTTGATTAGTTGTCTTATTTTCAGAATCAGTAGCAGTTTCTTATTCATGTTTTAATATTCTTTTAATTCTTAATTCTGAAATTATCATTTTCTGATAGTATACCCCACAAAGTCCAAAAAAAAAAAAAAACCCACAAAATGAAACAAAACTGGAAACCTGATAAATTAGAGATAATATAACTTCTGGGCTGAGACATTATTATACATAATTTGAAGATGAAATAAAAACCTTCCATGATAAACAAAAATTAAAAGAATTTACAGCTAGAAAACCAGCACTAAACATCCTTGGCAAAATATTTCATGAAGAGGAAATGAAAAACAACAATGAAAACCAGCAGAGGGAGGTAGTACACTAAAAGAAAAATTAATCAAAGAGGAAAACCAACAAGTTAAATAATAAAAATAAACAAATATGGCTGGAAATACAAACCACGTCTCAATAGTAACCCTGAATGTTAATGGCTTAAACTCACCAATCAAAAGACATAGGCTAGCAGATTGGATTAAAAAGACCAAACAAGGAGCTGGGGATGTGGCTCAAGCGGTATCGCTTTTGTCTGGTATGTGTGCGGCCCGGGTTTGATCCTCAGTACCACATACAAATAAAGATGTTGTGTCCTCCGAAAACTAAAAAATAAATATTAAAAAAAAGATCTAACAATATGCTACCTATAGGAGACTCATTTGATAGGAAAAGATATCACAGACTGAAGGTGAAAGGTTGGGAAAAATCATACCACTCACATGGACCGCGGAAGCAAGCAGGGGTCTCCATATTCATATCATAATAAAGTAGATTTCAAGCCAAAGTTAACCAAAAGGGATAAAGATGGACATTATATACTGCTCAAGGGAACTATACACCAATAAACCATAACAATCAGAAATATATATGCCCCAAACAATGGTGCAGCTATGTTCATCAAACAAATTTAAGTTCAAGAGTCAAATTGACCACAACACAATAATCTTGGGTGATTTTAACACACCTCTCTCACCACTGGACAGATCTTCCAAATAAAAGTTGAATAAAGAAACTGTAGAGCTCAGTAACACAATAAATTAGACTTAAATGACATATATAGAATATATCAACCAACATCAAGTGGATACGC